GGGGTCACACACACACACACACACACACACATATATATATATATATATATATATATATATATACACACACACTGTAAAAGTATATACTGTATACTTTTTATGTGGTTCATGTGTAATTTTAAATTTCTCATTTTTTTTAATTAATAAAAAAGGTCTAAATGCAAAAATACTCTGGCAACATTCAAAACTTAAAAATATATAGCTTATAAACTTATCTACTGTACAGTAGGTTAAAAATATTAAGTCTCTTTTTTTCAATAATTTTTCGGCTTCAAACAGACCTGGAAGATGAACATATGAGGATTACACTGACTTACTCTACAGTTTTATAGCATTTCTTTCAAAAAAGAGCCTTTACAATGTTAGTCAAGGTTTCTAAAATATTATTTCAAGGTTTCTAATTTAGCATTTAGGATGAAGATTTTCTACCTTTGACCTACAGTATAGAATTAAACAGGCTGTATTTGTAACTGTACTTTTAAGACTCCTACTGCATATGTAAATGACCTCTGAGTCCGTTGTGATTGGCTGGCCTTCACAGACCGTATGTTTGGTTACTGTTTTTGGACTGTTGGCATTATGGGATTGGTCAAGAGTTACTCACACATCCACAGATAGTACATGATCTTGACGGTTTTCTGGTACTCCACAGGGATGTCCACTGATATGTCATGATAGAAACACGGACCCACCGGAAACTTCTCTGGAAGGGGCGGCCAGTTGTTTTTCCTCCCTTAGAAACAAGAAGCAAACAGGAAAATCAATTAATAATGGAAATAAAGAGGTGGATGATGCAATAGGAGCATGATGACAAAAGGTGGTAAACGGGTACAGGACTGGGAAACAGAACAGTAATTGTTTTTCCTCTGCTCCTGGTGCACAGAGACAGTAAATCACACTAAATCTAAAGTTGATTGTGTGAGATGACAAGCATAATACGGTCTCAACCATAGAACGAATGTCTACAGATCAGCTGATGCATATTGCACACAAAAATTCAATTTCATAATATTTATATATAATTTTACATATTAAATCAAAAAAAGGTGTAGGCTGAAGCTTTTTTTTATTTTACCTACATTTTTTTTTTTTAAGAAGCATCACTTCCACTACAATTTAAGTAATGATATAAATTCAAATAAATTTAAGATCTTTATACATAACTGAAAATACCAACTTTGAGCAATCATGAGTTATAAATTCAAAGGAACTGAATTAAATTCCATTCATTCCAGTGGTCGACCGATATATCGCCAAGGCCGATATATCGGCCGATATTTGGCATTTTTCAAATATCGGCATCGGCCGATAAGTTTTTATGCCTGGCCGATGTGTTCGAGGCGGGACTTTTATTTTGACGGCACTGAGAACGGTAGCGCCAGGGCACACAGTGCTCACATTCTCCCTCTTCATTGTTTGTTGTCGTCGTTTAACAGTTCTGCCTAATACAGATAGAAGTCTGTCTAATAAACAGATGGAACTGTTGAACAAATTAATTAAAAGGTATACAAAAAGTATTATAATGACTGCTTTTATATTATTAGTAACAGAAAGACAGACATAATACTTTCTCGTTTGCCGTCAGAGTTAATATGGGTAATTCTCACATTCTGTGTTCTTATAAATGTCATACAATAATAGCATTCCTGGTCTATATGTAGCATGCTTTTTTGTGGTTCATGTGTAATTTCAAATTTCAAAGAATTTCTGATTTTTTTTAATTAATAAAAAGGGGTAACTGCAGTAATAACATGGTAACAATATGGTAACATTCAAAACTCTTGAATTTTTGAAATTTGCCTACCTTTTTTCATAATAAGCATCACGTCCACTACTCAATTTAATCTATACAAAAGAATTTAAAGCCTTTTATAAAAAATGAAAATCACACCTTTTATTGATTAATAAATTATTTAACATATTCTTCAATTCTTAATTTTGAGTTATATATATGCTTATCACCGCATTTTTTAAACTCCTTCTTAATTTGCAAAAGTACCCATTTCTTATTCCACGTCAACAGTTTCAGTTTTTCCACCATTTATGATTTCATAATTATCAATAAAACCTTCTCATTACATACAGTTTTTTCAAGTTATATATGCATCAGCTTTAATGCACTTATCAAAAACAAAAGCAGTCAGATGTTAAAAGTTTCAGTTTTATTGACAAACAAGTATTCAAAATTATGATTTAATTTACAATCTGCAAAGTAGTGGAAAAAGTGTAAATGAGGATTAGGCATACAATAATGTCATGCACGTGAAAATGGACTGAGAATTGAACAAATGGTTGTAATCTGGCTCCGATTCAGACAGGAATCATGACCTTGTAGTGTTTTTCTGCTGATTAAGGGAGAAGACTTTTTTATCTTACAAATGGTCATCAAAAGCAAAAATGCTACACAATGCATCCTACTTTGTGCTAAAGTTTGATGTGTTTGAGCAAAACAGGCACTATTTTGAAACCAGCACCTTAAAATTAGTAAGAAACACATTGGATTTAATTTACCAAATATGATGCATGGTGATGTAATCTGTGCTCTTTGTGAGTTTTCTACACAATTTTGGTCAGAATAAACTACAATGTGGATGGGATTTTATGCTGAAGTCTTAATAAATGAGACTAACCTGTTCCATTTGTTGTGTAAAAAGATTTAACTGTGGTAGGTGACTTTACATGTCAGTACCTTCCTGTCTGTGTGGGCGGTTTCTGACCAGAATAAGCGATGCAGCATAGACAGGCTTGACGCGAGGCTAATAACTCACCTCCTGATGAGCTGAGAGACTGCATCTCCCTCTCCCTGCGGTCCAGCTCAGCGGCTTTTCTCTCCAGCTCCTCCTGTCTCCTCAATAACTCCGCCTGGGCTCGCACCTGATCCTACACACACAGACACAAGGTGGTTATGAACACAAAGTAATTCTGCTTACAGGCACAGCAGAAATTAACTTTAGGAGAGTCAACATCCAAACACACCAAAGGCATTTTCTGGAGACACAGCCGTCTGAACCAATCACAAACACGTCTGAAACTGTCTGACTGACAATGCAAGTCGTCTTGTTTATTCACCGCATATCTTATCTGGCGTGTCGTTATACACTGTAAATTTGAATATGACTACCTATATGATAACTGATTATGGCTTATGTAAGGCTTATGTATGAGAATGTAAAGCTATACTACCATTCAAGACATCTCTTCTGCTCACCAAGGCTGCATTTATTTGATCAAAAACACAGTAAATCAGTAATATTGTGAAATATTACAATTTAAAATAACTGTTTTCTATATGAATATATAGTAAAATGTAATTTATTCCTGTGATCAAAGCTGAATTTTCAGCATCATTACGCCAGTCTTCAGTGTCACATGATCCTTCAGAAATCATATGCATAAATAATATGCTGATTTGCTGCTCAAGAAACATTTCTGATTATTATCAATGTTGAAAACTTGTGATGCTTCATATTTTGTGGAAACTGAGATACATTTTATTTTTCATGATTCTTTGATGAACAGAAAGCTCAATAGTACAGCATTTATTTGAAATAGAAATGTTTTGTAACATTATAATTGCCTTTACTGTCACTTTTAATTAATTTAATGCATCCTTGCTTAATAAAAAGTATTAATTTCTTTAAAAACAAAACATCCTCAAACGTTTTAACAGTAGTGTACTTAAGTGTACATATGCACAAGTATATACTAGATGATTTTAGTACAAAGTTAATATTAAAATTAAAATAAAAATTTTTATACATTTTTTTAAATGACACTATATATAAAATGTATATAATATAAATTCCTAAATAATATAATATAACATAATATCATATAATACAATATAATATAATAGATCTTGCCAAGGCAGAACTGCTTGGGGTTCCATCAAACCCATCGTTTCATCACAATTTCACCATCCAGTTAGGCACATCAACCATAACTCCTTCAAAAACAGCCAGAAACCTTGGAGTCATGATTGATGATCAGCTGACTTTCTCAGACCACATTGCTAAAACTGTCAGGTCCTGCAGATTTGCTTTATTCAACATCAAGAAGATCAGGCCCTTTCTTTCGGAACATCCTTCACAACTCCTTGTTCAAGCTCTTGTTCTGTCCAGGCTGGACTATTGAAATGCTCTCTGGGCAGGTCTTCCAGCCACTTCTATCAAACCTTTACA